GGAAACACTACAGACTTAGAGACCACGCAAGTGGATTCTCAACACCCTACCTATATTCTGGAAGAGCAGAATGATGAAAACATTCTTGTTTGGCTGAAGCAACATAATAAGCTGAAGCACCAGAACGTAGTAGAAGCACTCAAAGATGCTAAGCGACATGGGATCGCGCACCCTAAGCTGGCAACTTTAGTTGACAGAGTATATCAGTCATACACAGACTGTAATCTCAATCCGATCAAGCGCTATGGTTTCGCACCGCTTAAGAGTGTGACTGAATATGTTCCATGGCGCAGGGTCATCATTGATCTGGTTGACCTGCCCACGTCCGATCACACAGGTGACCGTTACGTATGTCACTTCTTTGATGTGGCGTCACGGTTTAACTTGCTCTATCCATTATGCAGACCGTGGCAGAATTATGTTACCAAGTTTTTGCTGACCACGGGTGGCCGGGTATTATGTGCACTGATAACGGTAGTAGTTCTGCGATGACGTTATGGAGTCGCTAGTACTCGTATCAGGCATATGCCATAAGAGAGGTGTGCCATATAAGCCGCAAACGCAAGGCGCGGATGAAACGCGCCATAGAAGACTTAAGTTTTTCTTGCGTACTGCATTAACGGATGATGCAGATGAATGGCCGTACCACCTTAAGTGGGTACAAACATAGATGAACGAGTGTGTTGATCCGGTTACAGGAACTACACCCACTCACTATTTTCGTAGCAAATATAGTGAGTTACAAATACCCTATAACAAAGACGAACCTGATCACCATGAGTTACCATGGTTAGAGAAGGTCCAACGTATATATAACGTTGTATATCCTTGCTTGCGAGAAATACGCAATATAGCTATATTAAAAAGGCAAAAGCGTTGGAACACTACCAAGAAGATAGCAGAATATCAGGTTGGTGACAGAGTTAACATCCGTCAACGTAATTTCGATGTTACTGTATTAACATCTAAATGGATAGGTTCATATATAATCTCTGTAGCAGACACTAAAAGTGGATCATACGAGGTAAATAACCCCGATGGTTCTAGTGCGCTTAATATAGGCACAAGTCGTATTCCGACTACAGAGATTATACTCGCAAGAAGACATAACTCTAATGCCCCTCTTGATCGTTCTGATTTTAAAGACATTATATGGAGAGCGGATAAGGGAGGCTATACATAATATCGTACACGCTTTATAGACGGTACAATAGCTGAGTTGACTTCAGATGCTTTTGATAACCAAGACTATTTAAAAGCCTTTCATCGAAAATGGCGTAAACGCCTGCATAAGTCACAAGCTGAAAAAGGTATCATGTTTCCATCGTCTGAAGGAACGGAAGTTAAAACTCATCCGCCTACAGCATTTATCCCGAGCCTTAATGCTCATCCTTCATATGTGCTTTAGACACTGAAGCGTAAGAAGCGTCCAGTCGACCACCACGGACCTACTGGACCTAAGCCCAAAACTCACAGGGTAACCAAGAACACTTAACTTCTCCACCTGAGAAACATTAACTATATGTTATGCTACTTAATGTTTCGACCCATTTTTCCTTTCTCGCTTTTTGACCCATAATCAGCTTGAGTGAGCAACTTGCTTCTCTTGGGTCTCAAAGCTGGGTGGGGGCTGTGTAATAGATGTATAAACGTACTCTTAAGCAGTACAAAAATTATAAACGTACTCTTAATAGTACGAGGAACTTAAGTTTCCTAAATGTACTCTTAATAGTACGAGGAACTTAAGTCTCCTAATGTGCTCTTAATAACACGAGGAACTTAAGTTTCCTAAAATGTTTTTAATGGTTTTATTAATTAATACCTTTTCCTTTTTACATATTAGATATTTGGACGAGGCCATTAAAAGGCCCCAATAAAATACCAAACATAAGAGTTGGTCTAGTTCTATTAATATAACTATATTTACTTTCCAACTTTATTTAGATCTGAATACTTCGGTAGCGAGATGGCTCAACCGAATATAGGTTTCTAGGGACTATTAACGTAACCTAGTTGATCCTCCGATCAGCCAACCAGATGTGCCAGTCTGATGAAGGCTAAGTCGGTAATTCTTGATAACTGGCAAGTTATTGGTTAATGCAATAACTATGGACATCAAGAGTATTTTTATTTAATTCTTTTATTTTTTTTCTAAAGATAGGATTTTATGAAGTCTTTCGGATTCGCCCCAACGAAACATACAAAAGTTTCTAATAGAGCGACAACGAAACACTTATATATAGGCAATGTCTCAGCCTAACAATCCCTTAGAGTATTGCTGTTTTCATGAGGCATACCTAACTTTACTAAAAGTATCATTTCGTTTATTTACTTTGATCTTTTCACGATACTTAGAATTTACCTACGCGTTTATTTACTCTAAGGCGTTAATATCGCCTTAATAGACCGAATCTTACACATAAATAAGACGCATGCAATAGTCGCATAAATAAGACGCATGCGATAGGGATAATATTATTTATTTCAAAAATGGCAAGTATGTATGATACAATGTATGAACATATGGTATGGCTCTCAGTCGCTGTAGTGGTTCAGGAAAGATTGATGGGAAGAAGTGGTCAGTAAATTCCCGTTTGAAGCTTGGGCCAAGTGAGTCGACAATGGAAGATATGTGCTGAGTCAATTCGGGCCGTTGTTGACAAAACACTGCTACTATCGAATTTTCCTTATATTCGCTTGCTGACCTACTAAGTAGAGTACCCACCTCTGTGGTACGGATCGGGTCTGCGCCGATGCAATAGTCGCATAAATAAGACGCATGCAATAGTCGCATTAATAAGACGCAAGCAATAGTCGCATAAATAAGACGCATGCAATAGTCGCATAAATAAGACGCATGCAATAGTCGCATAAATAAGACGCATGCAATAGTCGCATAAATAAGACGCATGCAATAGTCGCATAAATAAGACGCATGCAATAGTCGCATAAATAAGACTCATGCAATAGTCGCATAAATGAGACGCATGCAATAGTCGCATAAATGAGACGCATGCAATAGTCGCATAAATAAGACGCATGCAATAGTCGCCATGCAATAGTCGCATATATAAGACGCATGCAATAGTCGCATAAATAAGACGCATGCAATAGTCGGATAAATAAGACGCATGCAATAGTCGCATAAATAAGACGCGTGCAATGGTCGCAAATATAAGATGCAGAAATAGTACGCAACACTTACTTGTGGTAGGTCCAGTAAACCCTTTTTTTTTTTCAACACTTACTTGTGTTAGGTCCAGACTTTTTTGTCCATATCCTAGTTTCCGCGGTAACGTTAATAGTCCCTAGAAACCTATATCAATAATTTGTATAGTTCAGTGATGACTATGAATGTTCCTGTTGAGCAGTCGAGCCTGTCGAGGCCTCGTTTTCGAGCCTCGGCCCTCGAGGGCGACTAAATTTTTTTCGATTTTTGGTTTGATTTCAAAATCTGGAAGCAATATCTCTCGCACATATTTTATATATACTTGTTTTTAAAATAAATAAAATAGTTCTACTCTTGTACTTCTTGTTCTGTTGTGTACATTATACAGTATTTTGTATTTTTATATATAAAAGTAATTTTAAAAATAGATACACACAAGAAGAAGATAGGCTCTGATCTGATTCTCTGACTTCTGTAGTTTTGAGTTACTAACTGTATGCTCATTATGCAATGTAATAAAATACAAGCACTTTGAAACATATCCCCGTAAAACCAATTCAAATTTATTGTTGTCCAATGAAAAGTTTTATATGTTCTTTCAATTATAAAAGGATCGCGTATCATTGAATCAGCTTCCTTTGTGTGTGTGTTTGTGCTCACACAACAAATAAATTTATATTTCAAAAACAAATATGTATGTAAATACATTTTTTACAATCTAAAAAAAACATATACTTCGAATTTCGAATACGCTTGAAAATATTCAACCTACTCTATATTCAAGCGAATCATCTTTCAGGGATATGTCGTGCGGCTCGTGCTGCCTCTTGTGACTTTTTTTTCATCGTCTCTACTAGCTAGAGTCTGATCACGGGTCCGGTAGTAACCTGACTCCTGAGTCCAGACCTGACAGACCTGAGTCCTGAGTCCTAACTCCTGAGGCCATCAAATGATCAACCTTTGAAGCCCCAATTCCCCAAGGCCTAAGGCCCCAAGGCCTTAATCCAAAGTTCAGTCCTGACTCCTGAGTCCTGACACACTCCAAAGTTCTGACTGCTGAGACTCCTGAGAGACTTAAGAGTTGAGATTTGAGAATGTCTTGTTGAGAGTTGAGAGTTGAGATAAGAGACTTGCGTCGTTTAACTCTTGTGAGTTGAGACTGCCTGAGACTTGAGAGACAGAAACTCAGTTTTGTGTCCTGAAGTCCTGAACTCCTGACTGGGCTGAGAACTGAAAGTTGACGACTGGGAGGAACGGGTGATGAAGATGGACTGAAAGAGTGGTCTGGACTTTGGACTTTGGAGTCTGGACTCTGGTCACTTTAGTGTCGTTTGGTTGTGGTGCTTTGTCGGTGATTTGGGTATTTAAGTTGCAGTAATCAATATCGCTCTCTTTTTTATATTGTTTTTGTGTTGTTTAAAAAAAACACAAAAACACAAGAAAAATTGCTTGCTGAACAGCTCGCAATGACGACTATTCTAAAATAAATTCAGACTCGACGAGAAGTCGACAGATCATAAATATTTTTTAATCCAAATACAATATTACAGATAAATAAGCAATACAAATCATCCAATACATTCGCTCTGTTTATTTATTTACAATTTTTATTTTGGTTTGTCTTTTTTGTAACGATCTCTTTTTCAATAATCATCATCAATTCTCTGATTTGCAGTTTGAGACTGTGAGTCCGAGATAACGAGCCGTATTTTATTTGAAAAATCAAAAAAACATGGCCTTCAAACAATAATTGTATATTTCTGATTTGTTTTAAAAAATACACAACTGTATGAACTTTGGTGTCTACATTCTAACAAATTTCTATAGGAAACACATTTTTAGTATGCCTTTATTTACGAGATTCCTGGCGAGGTAGGTAATTGATATTGACAGCAAAGCCAATGTTAAGACTAGTACAACTGCAGGTTCTAATATTATCAATATCGGTTATTCTCTGATTGTTTGTATTTTTGATGTGTTGCGAGTATACTCTTGAGTGTGTAAAAATGTAATGCCTCACAGGTACAACCCGTTCAATGCCTCTCCGGATCAGGCTCAAAGATAGATTTTGATTGTCACACAATAAAAGTCTCTAAGGCACGATGTTTGATGCGGGAAGATTTCAATCCATAGGGCCATCCATTCTACAAGAATAGCCGGCGATACCTTGGCCTCTTCACACACTACTGGTACGGGGATAGCTGACACCAGCATTTCGAATATCCGAGTATTCCCGCACTGATGGGGTTGTCACACTACTGGTACGGGGATAGCTGACACCAGCATTTCGAATATCCGAGTATTCCCGCACTGATGGGGTTGTAGATAGCTGTACTTCAGTTGCCGGTGTTCTTCCCGGGTTACCGTATTGCAATGCCGAGTAATTTTTATCATTCATATACGTCTGCTCGAGTACTGGTATCCACATTTGATGTCCTTGGTTGCTAGACATTTGCTCTTGTTGTGCATGCGCTTGACACTTCGATTGAGGCTCAAACCCAAGAGGTACTGGTGTACAAATCATATTTGAAACAGGAAAATTTTGCATTTCTGTAACTCGAGCACCATGGCCGCGATCAAAAGCCAAGCCGTTGCTAATCGGTTTGGCGTAGTACTGCGCGGGTCTGTCAACTGGACCAGAGTGGGATTGTCTATAGTCCACTGAAGGCACATAAGCATAATCTGCGAAACGAGAACCATCTGATGATTGTCGTTCAATTCTAGATAGGCTTCCCGACGAAGGTCTCATCACATCCTTTGCGGTAGACATGCCGCCAAAATCATTGTACGCTCCCTGACAGCACGCTTCTTCACAAGGAGGAGGCGCTTGATTGACTGTGTGAATCGGACACTGTGCTATTCCCATTCGGCGATCACTTTCTCTCGCCCTTTTTCGCCCTTGCTTTCGCCTACGAGTGTGGCTTATGTCGCGCTTAGCATGCAAATGGGCCAGGGGTGTTTTCGTTAACCTTCCACTGGAAGAGCTATTTCCACACAGGGGTCCACATCTCTGATCCCATTCCTGCCCAGCAGCTGCCGAGTAGTCAAGCATTATAGGTCGTTCGCTTGTGTAAGGTTGTCCATAATTATGTGTACGTCGATCATTGACCTGTACGACTGAGGTTGGATATGAAACTTGACGTAGAGGGTGTTGAGAACAATCTACACTAGCTGCGATAGTGTATTGTCCAGTGTTACTCATACGATCGGTTGGAATTGAACCAGTATTTCTTTGTGCATTTTGAGGCGATTGCTGCATATTGTTGGAACCTGAATCTTGTCGGCAACCTACTATTGCTTGTTGATTCTGATTTCTGGCGGCAGCAAAGCCTTGTGATGAAACGGGTAAGTTATTGCTGATGTGTCTGCCTTTTGTTAATTTATGCGTATTAGAAGGTGGCGGACAACACTTGAGCATCGTACTTTCAGCCGAAGATGGCACCAAATTAGAGAATGCACCGTCTCCGTGTGGGTGCTTCAAACGGTAGTGTAGTTGCCGCGAGTGTTTGGTTGTGTAGGCGCGGCCGCACCGATTGTACTCACAAACAAAGGGTCTACTGAGTTGAGATATGTTTCGACGCACCCGAGAATGTGTTTGTGCTGGCATACGTTTTTGTGAACCGGCTCCCGAACTAGTACATTCGTTGTCATCCCCTTCATCGCTGCGAGATGGGCTTGTGTATTGAACTTTTTCTTCGTTTGTCTTGCCAAGTTGCTTGCTTTTAAATGACTTGCATGAGGACCAACTGCGTGACCCTTCCTCAGTACTGTCAGCTTCGTTGTTGGCACCTTGTCTCAGACTAATATTCGTATGGTTGCCCACTTCCTTGCGCTCAGGCTGCACGATGATGTGCGCATCAGATATGCTGTTGAACCCAATTGAAGCTTTAATCCTGCGTATAGTAAGCTTATCAGATTCTGATAGCCCTTTGTAAGGCATTGTATTTATGTGTTTGCGTTTGCCTGTCTTGAAATTTGTGTCTAGTAATTTGCTATAGTGATACGGTAAATATTTATCATCACATGTGTATAACTGAATGGTGGAGGGGACTGTGTCATGTTCTTCTATCCGCAAAATAAGTATTTATAAAAATATATTGACGACTCACAGTCGTATTAATTTACTTCGTCACCAGTCACACTTATTTGTTTCTGAAAAAAGCCAGATTGTACCCGAATTCTGTACGTTCGGGACTTCGGGAAAGGGGTAAGCTCGGGTACAAGAGCGTCTTTTTTTATTGAGAAACCACGAAGAGTATAAAAAATTGAAAACTGTGACATTTTGAAAACGTAAATAGGCTTCTCTATGTAGAGTGAGGCTCCTATAGGCCATTTAAAAAAAGAGACAAAGTGAACATTTGAAAAAAAAAAAAAAGGAAAGTCGACGAGAAATATATTTAAAAATATTAAGTGTCTCTTGTTTGTATAATGTATTTAGAGGGCTATGTCTTGTTGGTTCTTGTTTTTGTTTACAATTTTTTTTTTTGTTGTTGTAGTTTGTAAAGTAAATAACAAGGAATATTCATAACTAGCCTTCTGAAATCAAATAAGAAGGCTATGGAATATTTTCTTTTAAAATAAAACAAAATAAAGCAAAAACAAAATGGAAACAAACTATCAGTCTCCTGCAGTCTCGCTCAGCAGTGCAATTCTTTTTTACTTCACCCACTCTCACTCTACTCTCTCTAAGTAGAGAGCAGGCAGCAGCCAAGCTGCGCCTGCACAAGAGAGAATAGAGCAACTACTACTACTACTATATAGTCTATAAGTAAATAATAACTACATAGTAGTTGTTGGCCATACTGATGTAACGTGTATTAGACGAATGATATCAATTCTTTCTGTTGTAGACAAAATGTAACGAATTGGAAAATTCCGCTTGCAGTTTACTGGTCAATATTTATAAATACATCGATATTTACAAATACATTTAATATTGCGCGTTTGTACTTGTTGTAGATATTTCTCAATATTTTGATTTTTGTTTTATATATTGAGCCCATCCAAACAAATTATAGGTATCATATAGCTGGTGTTTTTATCAAAATAGACTAAATTATTCATCGTGGAAAAATATACATTTTAAATGGCTTCCTAGAAAATTAGTTCTCAAATAAAAATATCATTGGATATCAGTGCGCTTTTTCAAATACCACTATTTTTCACCAATGGAACGTAACCGCAGAATTGCGTCCCCCTCTGGGTGAAAATAAACACTTGTCGTCCACACACACTTGAGAAGAGAGAAGAGTGACAAGCTGCCGGCCTGCTGCTGAAGACAGTGAAGAGTGAAGACTCCAAAAACTAACAAGTCGCTAAGAGCTACAATTATATTTAAAATTTGATAAATATTTTTAAAGCAAATAAAAAAATACTGCGCATCTTTATTTTGAACTATAAAAATATATCGAAATATATTTTTGAAGGGTTTAAAGTTTTTTATTGGAGTTGAAAAATAAATAAAAAATAAATAAAAAATAATATCTTTGTAGGTGTGCTTTTGTTTTATTATTATGCTTCTTTTCTCTCTGAGAGATAAATATATAGACGAGAAATCTTGAAACCACCATAAATATAGCCACCTACACACGCCACCTACGATTCTAGCCATCTACACACGCCACCATAATTAGTGCAACCTACACTTCCCACCTACTCAAACTTGGGGGGGGGTTTACTACTTACACTGCACAACTTAAAAACTAATATTAAATAAAACACGCCACCACAATTAGTGCCACCTACACTTCTCACCTACTCATACTTCGGTATTATTTTTTACTACATACACTACACAACTTAAAAACTAATATTAAATAAAACACGCCACCTACACTTCCCACCTTAATATTAAATAAAACATAAATACAAACTGCACTGGACTGAAGTCTAACCCTCAATGTTTGCTTGAGCAATAATTTACTAGCTAGTTCCTAGACGACACCACGACGCCAACATGGTAACAAACTATTGAGGCAGCACACGTTGAGAGGTAAATATGAATAGGGAATGTTTGTGGCAATAGTGTGGTGTGCATTTCAGTATTTTTATATCTGAATATGTTCTTATCTTGGATAGTCTTCTCACACTATGAATTAAAATATAAATACAAACTGCGCAGCTCTGAAAATTCTCTCGACTACAAGCAACTCGATATTCTATTCACAGGGCAACGGAGCCGTATACACCTATTGTCGCAAAATACGCACCTAAATTGTCTTAGCGCAAATCAAGCCAGACCAAGCTTTTAGAAGATCATTTGTGTTTCAATTGATATAATAACACTATATTCAAAGACCCACGGAAATAATGTGCCGGTACAATACCTTGTGTGCACCTGTGCATGTCTGTGTGACCTTTTGATTGACTAAAACATACATTTTACGTCAGTGAGAAATGTAGATTGCACTAATAGTTGGTGTCACATGTCAACTTGTGTCAACCTGTCACTATAAGTGTCAAAAATTAAAAATGGGACACAGTGATTGGCTAAAACATACATTTTTTCGTTGGTGGGAAATGTAGGTTGTACTAATTGTGGTGGCGTGTGCAGGTGGCTAGAATTGTGGGTGGCGTGTGTAGGTGGCTATATTTATGGTGGTTTCAAGACTTCTCTATATAGATGTACATACAATATATAGGAAATATATGCAAAAAAATAAGGTTTTGTTAAAAAAATGGGGATGTTGATAATGATTTGATAGAAAAAATTTGCCTTCGTTTTTTTGTCTTTGTTTTTGTTTGTTTTAAAACAAAAAACAAAAAACAACTATTTTTAACAAATATTCAATCGAAGTATATTCAAATAGTTTTTTAATGATCTAATTTTTCACCGTTTGTTTTTAAAAACAAATTACAAAAACAAATGTGATGCTGTATGTAGAATCATTAAAAATATTTGCCCTTTTGAAGTAAATACATAATTTATTATTATTTACAATATATAAATATTGAACCAAAAAAGTGTATTCGCTTTGTTTTCTTTCAAAACAAAAAGGATTTCATCACGACTGGGCCCTTGCTGTAAATATTTATAATTTTCTCTACAGTGCACGGAGCAGATATAATTTATTTTTGCGTTATATTTTTACAACAAAAATGTTGTTTCGGAAATCGGAAGGCTAAAAATTTATGCTTGATGTATTTGTTTGGGGGGTTTAAAAAAAACAGTATACCAAAATTAATATAAAAAAACTTTTACTGTACGATTCCTGTCCTGGTCTGGGCCAGAGCTGAGTCAGCTGACTGCTGACAATGTATTTAACTATTTACCAGTTATTTACCACTGATACACATTAAATATTTACACTATTGACGCTTGACTGTTCACTATACGCGTCGCCTTTTGTTGTGTAAAAAAATTTATTTGAAAAAAAATATAGTCAAAGACAGAAGGCTATAAATAAATATAAATATTTATGTGAAAAATAGTATTTAGCACCAAATATAAAATTGTCCATTCTGGATCTCCCTGTGGGGTCGTTAGATGTTTCATGTTTGAGATATATGTCATAGCCATCATCATGTTCTCGAACAACGTTTATTGCATCATCATTGGTGAAACATATAGGAGGCGTGATATTGCATATTCCTGTATATCGGCATCCTCAAAATGCTCACTGTCAGCTTTCGGTTTCCCATTCACTACGAGAGGTCTAACAATATTCTGAATACGTACAACTAGATAAGTACATGTATTATGGTGTTTAAACCATCACGCAGTCGCTCGTTTATTCTCATAGCATCTCGTTGAACACCTCAAAAAAAAATCTCGCTAAAAACCAATTCGATGTGGATAAAAGTCGCATGCCGAAGCGTGTCAGAAAGTATGCCCCCTTTTGAGTTCGATTCAAGCAACCGGTAATTATTATTCAAGAAAACGAGCTTGCCTCAAGGGTCTCGGAATTTTGATTTTTAAAATGACAATGACAAAGACCTATTCGGCTTGTTCCTCGTTCACTTATTTGGTTTTTCCCTAAATCGACTAGTACCGATGTAAAGGGTTATACGTGAAAGATGGCTGAACAGATTCTTTATATAAGTTGCTATT